GTCCAGGAGTTATCACTGTGATGATACCTGATCTATCACTTCCATGACTCTTCGCAGCGAGCGATAAACCTGATATATTCTTTTGTGAGAAGTGCCCCATGCCTTCCAATCCACACAGGTTCAAAAGCATTGGAAAACGAGTGAATACACGACTATAGAGGATTCTCGGACGGGTGCTTGCTTTTGCTTTAGGTGAGCAGCTCAGCACCGAGATTGATGTTTGCTGAAGTCTTGTCAGTTTAAATGACAATAGATTGTACTGGAATTTCTCGCAAATGTTTTACTTTTCGCTATTACTAAATTTCGACCCAAATATCTCTGTAGGACCTGTTTTGGATACGTTTTCTCCACCGAACTTCTCCAGAAAGTCATGGTTTAGCATCCTGTGTGTCGTTTGTTCAGATGCCACAAGCACTGTAGGTCACAAAACATCTGATAAAAATTGATTCATGCTTTCTGTATGCTATAGTATCAGAAATTCAAACTGAACAACACTTCGCGCACCAACAATGATTCAAATTGTATGTAACTACATTTCACGGTCGATTACGCCCTGGCAACACAAGACGATGTGTGGTTTTTTTAACCACAGACAGTGTGAATAATTCACTCGATCATACAATGTAGGCACTTAGACTTTGATATTATTGAAAAGTGAAGTTCGGGAAGGCGAAGAGCCTCAACAGCAAACTAAGTTAAAATGATCGCTTGCAGTATGCAAAATACACAATTTATTATGTCACGGTAACGCCAGATTTCTCATTGTGCGATAAAACAAATTTACAGAAACCGTTTAGTGCGGAGGCTTGCTAAACTATGCGGTTGCAAATCATAGCAAGTCGGCGCACTATCCTGACTCCTGTACACCCGACAATCTGACTGACACGTGCACTTTTTCTTGAGAATTTTTTCACATGAATAGCCATTTCATGCTTCAGACAAACGTGTGCCACAGCCCCGGTATAAACCACTTGTGAATTGCTCATTCACTATATAAGCAAGGTAGGTAGTGTGTGAAACCAGACATTGTACGAGCCAACACTGAATCAATGAACGTCAGTAAATATCGGCCAAATGTACATCAGTCAACACCAACCAGGGCATTTTTGTTGACATGTTTACGATCTGCGACCGTCAAATGTGATCTTCAAAGACGGATATGCTCAAAAGCTCTGACTACACATGTCCCAGTTTATGAACGCAACTCATACTGATCAACACACTTGCCTTATTAGAATTGTCGTGTGTCAGCTACCGTCAGCCGGGGCGATTAGCAGCAAAAACAACGAGCTACCGACGTTACTTGTCAATTACTCTAGGCTACACACCCAACTTGGGAGCTTACAGAAGCAAACCATCCCATTCGAAATGGGTAAACAGGTGGTAGCTGTCCACTAGAATGATAGACTTAGTCTCCAAACAGACACCATGGGGATCACGCGGTCCCTATCTTGGAAAGCACTGACAGTACGCAGACATCTGGTTACCTCTCATGCTTTCTGCTAGATTAACGGTTGATCACTTCTTTTCTCACCCCGCCGTTATGAAATGGGCATGCAAATCAGCATTGTCTTCAGCAAACTGTTGTTCGCCATATATAATACATGGCCCACTTACCGAAGTTTCTATTGCTAGACACATGCTTCAACTGAAGCCCCAGTTGAACGATGGAACACCCGCTTTATGACTGTTTCTCAGAGAACTTGCCGGCACCCGACTACACCCTGGGATCACGCGGTCCCTATCTTGGAAGGCACTGACAGCACGCAGACATCTGGTTACCTCTCATGCCTTCTGCTAGATTAACGGTTGATTACTTCTCTTCTCACGCCGCCGTTATGAAATCGACATGCAAATCAGCATTATCTTCAGCAAACTGTTGTTCGGCATATATGATACATGGCCCACTTACCGAGGTTTCTGTTCCTAGACACATGCTTCAACTGAAGTCCCAGTTGAACCATGGAACACCCGCTTTATAATTGTTTTTCAGAGAACTTGCCGGCACCCGACTACACCCTCTATGGTCCTGGGGAAACAATTGTCGCAGACCTGAAGACGTCTCATTTGAGTTTCTCCTACAGGCCGCGTTCCACAGTCATACAATAAAAATAGCCAGTACTGTAGCCTGATACACACGTCCGTTTAGACTCTCTTTAGATTGCAAGTGGAACCTTAGGTAACTGCATGTACACACTCTCCAGGTGTAAGGCACATGTCACTTTACGCTCCACACTTACAGTATACATTTAGATGGGCGCAAGTCTGAAAACAAAAAGAATATATTATATTCAGAAACTTCCGGGACGTTTTGTGATAGTGAAGTATATTAAAAACAGACAGGCTAGCCCGTCCGAATACGCCTTGCGAATCGGAGAGTACTAAAACTGCAGGCCATTTGCACGCATGACCTTTTTTAGATCATCTGACGGACTACGAACATTTGATGAACGCAGTTAGTTCCAGGCCGTAATCCTGCTTTCTACTCCGAAGTTAATGCTTCACGGACCACCATTAGGTGACGGAGCAGAAGTGACTCCAAGAGTTTGGATAAGGCTTGAATCAGGCTACGTTTAACTTTGCGTTTGATAGTTCATCCAACTGAATTGTGCTTGGGGTCGGTAGAAACACTTCTGCGATTTTAAAGCTTCGACAATGATCTGTCTGACATCCATAACTTGAACACAGACGTCTCAGAGCAGGGCTAGAAGGCCGTCCTAGCACGAAATGACATAAGACGGTGAGGCAGTTGGAGGAGAATTGAGAATCTGCCAGCTTCTTAGTTACTAAGTGACTTGTTTGACCTTCGCGCGACCCTGAAGAACGATGACAGGGATGATTCCGAGTGAGCGCATGGTCCGAATCCACATAAAAGTTTCGAAACGACCGGCAATTACTTATTGATCCGCGCCATTAGTAACTGACGTTGATATGATCAGTATGGGTCCGTGGTTGGCAAGCTGTCTCGAGGTACCATGTGACCAGATGACTTCGGTTGCTTCGGAAGTCAACGGCGCATAAAAGCAGCTTGCGAGCAACACACTGCTGAAGTGGTCTTCCGTTATTTTTCATGCCTAGCGTGTACAACAATTGTACACTCCCCCAAACGAGACTCATAGGCGGTAGGCCCCTTCAATTTTGCTTCCAAATCTTCGACAAGCACCACGTATCTCAGAGTTTAGCCCGCCATAACATGATACTTTAGGCGTCATAAAAGTTGTTCGGACTTAGAGCTACAGTCGGTTGGGAAGTAACCAGATACAACTAAAAGTGAGCGATCAGGTTGCTCCTTCTGAGACTATATCCAAGAAGTTGCCGGACGAACCGTACAGGGGTGACTATCGATGGGTATCCAGTCAAGTAAGGTCGCTTCCGCCCTGAACCTTAGGATGATGCTGACTCCCACATATCTGCTATCTCGACCTCTGGATCACCAGAGGTGCACAGCCGGAAACGAGTGAACAGTGATCGGAAAGTTAGCTCAAGCACTATTTTGGCGAGTTGTGTTCACCTTTCTGAAAATCAGCTTACCTCAGGGACGACTGAGTTCCATGTGAGAGAAAGAGCGACTTTCTTTCCTGCTTGATTCAAAATGAGAACACTGAAAGCAACCAGATAAACCTGGCGTCTAGGCTTGAAGATTTGTTTTGAAACGCCTGAAGCTGTCAGCGCCGGATGACGTGCACACGATGCAGCCAGAAACAGTATACGTCCAACATGGGTAGTCAGTGCTGAATGATGGACATACATGGAGGGAATTAGTAACTGGGTGGAGCAGGGAAAAGGAAAAAGTACTGGAAAGAGAACATGTTTCCTCTTACCCGCCATGTCGTATGCAGCAAGTAAAGCTACCTATCTGGTGACCACACAACAGCCGATGTGATTTGATAGTGCTTAGTTAGTTGTAGCTTTCAGGATTTTGGATACTGTCATGGCATCAAGACCTAGACGGAACAGTGATTAAGGTCCCCTTTCAAAGCCTCCTGCTGTCTGTTCTCAAGGCAGCGGTATTTGGAGGGAATCGAAAATGTATTGCAGTTCTTCTAAGAACAAGTTCACTACACATATTCCAACTCCCAACCTGGAGGACCAGGAGAGTGTTAGTCAGACTTCTAACAGATAAATAACCTCATATGAGTTAGTGGGAGTACTACACTCACACTCCCCATCATAGATGAGTGGGTCACGAAGGCTTGAAAACCGTCACACCATCGTCAGTTCTAGTCTATACGATCTATAAAGAAGACATTCGGTTGGAACTCAATTGAACCACCCGGTAAGCGTGCAAATATGCACATTCATTGTGTACAGTAGTCCTTGTTAAAGTCAACTTTGTACTTGGGCACCACAGTGATACCCAAGATGGTATTTGTTAAAGTCAGAGTAATTTCCCCAGAAGGTGTGAGCTCCAAGACGAATGAAACGTTATACTGTGTTATTCCGCAAATGTTCAACCAAGACGTCTCTCCAGGCGACACTTAGGTGGAAAGTTTATTGAGGATCTATTTTGCATCATGTATCCTATTTCGTGGAACCACTCGCACTGCAAATGCTCCCAAAGTACAGCAACTTCCTATCAAGCTTTTCACTTGATACAACAGACTTCTGGGGACTCAGTGGAAATGAACCACTGCTTACATTCGCGCGGACTCTGCAGTCAACGTTCAAGTGTTGCGCGAAAACCAAACAGCAAGCCACCTACCGTGATCTCTAGCCGGATCTTATTGGTTGATATCAATCAGGCCACAGAACAACCCTGAACGGGTAGTCTAATGTGCCTGATTAAAAATACACCAAGAAGTCAAACGATACGGCAAAACTCGCAAGACATATCAACGTGTCTATATTTCATCAAAATTTGTGTCCGTTGGTATCTGTGGTTGTCACGTGACAATCACACCATGGTGACCTTGTTCAACAAGGTTACTGGTCAGACTCCGTGTTATTTCATTGGCTCACGGAAATTTATATGCAGTCGATCGTTCTGTGCACTCTACCTATCGCACGAATTCGTGTTTTATGTGTGTACAGTTGGCATAGAATAACGAATCGTCCGATCAAGTAAGTTTTTTACTATATCAATTAGCACGACTTCATTTGCATCATAACCAGCTTGTCATAGTCTGAGCTAAACGTCCACTTGGTGTTGCATAGCATAACAGGCAATGATCAAAGGCTACCTTCCGGCAAACACTGTCTTGAGATTTCAGCTGTATTACGTGTGGATCGGCCTGTTGGTCAATAGTGCGATTTCAAGATCATATTCATGAGTCGCACCAAATAGCTGGGGTTAGGTGAAGTAGGTAGATAGACAAATAAAAGTCCGTAATTGTGCAGGCAAGCTGAAAGGCAGAAAACGCTCGAATCAAATGCATCTTTTCACGAGGAGCCGTATCTCCGCTTATGGCCAGTGAACGTGTATTGCTGTATGCTCGACTGTGCCCATGCTACGACAAGGATGAAAATATTCACTTTTACGGTTTTTCCAAATTCCTTGTCTGTTTCCCTGTGTTCTGATATTTCTTCACATCAAGCATAGGCAGTAGCAACTTTCGCGGAAGCCTTGAACCCTGGATTCCAAATTACGGTGGCGTCGTTCCGTCCAACATTGCGGTTCCGATGGCCAGTTGCAGGATAAATTACGAAAATTCGGTGTTTTATGAATATCTTCTTCCGTTTGCAAAACTGAAGTTGCTAGGTGGGTGCTTTGCTCGCAAGATAGATAACCCGTTATGCTTCCGGTTTTTTATTAGGCTGCCCAGGTGGATATGAGATTTAATGGGCCCATATTTATCATCATGGAGTTGAACCGTTAGTAAAGAAATCTTAAGTTATTTAAAACTTTATGGTCGGTACTAAACTACGATATAAAAGAAAGGACTTCCCATGGGGCATGAACTGCATTTACAAGGTGGTACGCTGTCACGAAATCCCAATCTGTTGTTTATCATCAACCTTCCATCCCCCATAGGAAACAGGTACAAGTACCAAAAATTATGATTCACCGTCAGCTAATCAAGCTAAATTATAATGTAACAAACGCGTTTTTAAGGTAGCGTTAAATTGCCATCAAATATGGAACTTCTTTGAGATTGCCGGAATCAAATTTTTGTAGTCCAGTAGGTGATAGGGTTAGCTGTCCTCCAAAGTGTAGTGGGAGTTCAGTGGGGTTGCACAGTGTCGCCAAACAGACAAACGGGAGGGTTTCGTGGAAAGCATACAAAACTATAAAGTTCAGTTTGTTTTAATTTCAAATAAAACCATACAATTTGGTTTTCACGAGGGACTCGACTGAACCTCTCGTTCACGCTATTCTTCAACTGAATGTGCTGCATACAGGCCGCCTCGTGTTTCAGTTGGCACGATATTCGAAATATCGCAGTATATTTTCGTAAAGGGAACTACTCACAAGTTTGCGGAAAACTCTTTGACATCCCAATATCGGTTTTGCTCTTCGTAAGGCTTATCAGTTAGGCACAGTTCCGTAAATATCATGATCTACTTGAACCCAAATTGAATTGATTTCGACAAATAGGCTCATTTGCAAATCAATTTGTTTTTCACGAGAGACCGAGCCGAATATGAAAATATACCAAACAACGGATTTTATCCTTGAATGTGCGGTTGGATTTGACGCTTCTCACTACCGAATGCCATCAGTTTCTTTCAATGAAAATGATGACACTGGAAAACTTCCACTGGTCAAGTAGCTAGTCCATCTTGGGGTTTCTTTTTTCAGACAATTTGACATCTATCTTAGCTACGGTTACACGATATGAATGCGCAGACGTTCGAAAAATAGTACTTGCAATTCATTGGTTTACCGTGGGAGCGCGTGCCTGTCGGGGTAAAAGAACACTCTACATGTTCACAGAAGAAGTCCTTAAAAACTTGAGTGAAGCAATCTATGTTGGTTGATAATCCACAGAAACTATTCAGTAAATGTCGCTTGCTTGCTGTTCAAAACAGTAGAGAAATGACTCCATCAGTAGTATAAAGTACATCCTAGGTGATTTACAATTACGTGGCGAACGATAAACTACTTGCCAAATAAAAGTTTCCCCAATCTGTCTCTGTAATTTAGATGCATAAGTTCCTGTCGGAAAATATGCATTTTGTGAAGCAATTAGCGCTTGAAATGTGACGCTCCAAACTCTCTTTACCCACAATGGACGTCTTTTGTGGTAACAGATTGACCCAGAATTTAGACTATGGTGTAATCCATTTAACTTTGTGGCTCATCGATCTACAAATTCCCCCACGTTTCGTTAGCATCTATACATTTTGGCCAGTTTCGCCCAATTTCCTGTAAATTTGTGATGCATTAGCCAAGATACATACATGATCACAAAAGACAACCTTTGTACGCTGCCTCTGACCAATCACTAAATAACACCTAGAATGCACAGCGTTTCGCATCCTTTTGCTAACCTGAGTCGTTTACCCGTTGTTGAGGGTTCTGCACAGTCGGGTTTTATAAAGGATTGAATTATGCGCGATACGAAGACTCCTTTAAACTCAAAGTGAAAACTTTAGGACAACAAAACTCACTGTGTGAAAATCAACGCAAAAAAAACATGAAAAAGGCAGAAAAATAACGGCTCTGAAGGTGTTTGCAGGATTGTTGGTTGCCCCGCAGTAGCTGCAATCCATTACTTCGCGCACAAACTGGAGAACGGAGTGATCTTCCACCAACTCAAGGGAGAGCAATCGAAAGCCTCTCATGCGCTTATATTTGATCTTATTGAACTGAATACGCTTATACTTTGATCCTATTGAATGAGTATGGATCTGAGCCGTGTGCTTTAGTACGATGATACGGCCATTCCATAGTGTTTTAAAAACACTCCTGACATTAAGTTTCAACTGCCAGTCTACCAAAGTGTATGCTTTTGATTACTTGCGCTGCCACTGTACTTTCCTAGATGGTGGATACAAGTATACCCAGGAGGAAGCATTAGGTATCCTTATTTTAGGATCCTCAGGGCACCCAGGGGACGGGCGTACCGAAAAGGGATACGAATCTGTCTGTTTAACGTCTGTAAGTCTACATCATTGGCCCAATAAACTTCAGGAGACAGGAACCATGCGCCAGCATGAGGTTAATAGAATGGATAACTACTCCATATGGAGTGGACTGCTGCTAAGTGTACCAAGTGTCTTTTGTGATAAATATGACCATCCCAACCAGTGACACTTTACCTGAAGACATAGGTATTTGAACCGTTCTCATACTTACGAGACACACTGTTATTTTACTAAGTATCGCCTAAAGGAGGCGTTTGAACTCGGAGCTGGTGACCCTGGTACCAATCTTAAGGGCAGATAGGAGTCAACGAAATCTGGGGGGAATTGCTTACTAAATGCCTGAGCTGCTGGTTAGCATACTCAGGTAGTTTAATATTTCTCGTCAGTCGAAATAACAAAGTGAGCAAATTCGCGACGCGCAAGTGGCAAAATCTCCAAGCAGAACGGATATTCCCGTCTTGCTAGTGAAGCGAATTGTAATAGCTGTGCTAGTACGCTCTCTTCGCGTGATCAGTCATGTTCACTAACTGGGTTGCTAAATAAACTCATTCATAGAATTGATTACAACAACTACCTATGTCAACTGAATAAACAGTAATGTTTGCGAACAGCAAACGTCATGTGAAAATCAGCCATCTTGACTGTTCCCTTAATTGCAGTGCTGGCAAAAACCAAATGCTGGAAAGAATTACGTTTAGGAGACTGGTGACAAGTTGAGTTTGCCGGATCGATACTCATGCGATAATGAACTCGTTGCAAGATCGGTTGGAGGTCATTGCTTGATGAGTGATTTGCTTGATAGCAACTCTTGGAAATGTATCTCAGGCACACTTTACACACTTGTGGATTAACGTGTACGGAGTCCTTTTGCGGCATCCAGGTAGCTGTTTACTTGCATCCATTCCTAAGGCCAAAAAGGGCGAATCAGTTTAGTTAACTGATTCATTCATTGCATTCACTGCATTCATTCATTGCGTTACTCGCCTACCGGTTATCTACAACTTAGCTAGCACATTCCAGGCATAAACGCGACTACCTGCTAGTCAAATGATTTATTATTGTGGGGATATTGAACAAATATGAGAGGCTGAACGCTACTTCTGAGCATTTCTTGTCCTGGGATGTGTTGTGACCATTCACAGTAATTACGAGAGGGATTTGTTAGTCCACAGAAACCGTTTTCTTCTAGTGGCTTATTACATACTAGGCAGAAGACATCTGGCAGCCCCTCTGTAGAAATGTAGGTTTTTCATTTCTTCACAGAATTTGGTTGTGCAGAGTTGAAGCGAAGCCTGATGTCTTGCGTAACACTGTATCACAGTGCTTCATCACTGGAACCCAGAACGGAAGACATGTTCCTTTATGCAAGTATAGTGGTGCATATTTGGGATCAATCTGATAAAGTATGAGTGAATGTCATTCGACCAATCACTCTTCAGTGATTTACCGAATGAGGTGCAAAGGTGCATTCTGGTTCACCTGTCCACCATTTAGCAATTTTCCTTTGTTATCTACGCTTACCGCACATTAGCCATACGATGCTTTAATTATGCTTTCTAACCAGTTCATCCGTTCGTCCATTTCTTTGATGAATGATTTTACCTCCTTGCTACTGATACAAGTAAAGATTTGACAGGCTTTCATGGTGTCTGTCTTTTATCCCCAAAAATATTAGGGTCAGTTAGGACAAATAAACAGGATTTTATCAAAGTTTGATCCTCCACACGCAGGCACCCAGGTAAGACTGCCGATTTAGGTCTTGTGCTCCTGGTTACGACTTGCAAGAGGAATATTCGAGCTAGATCAGAGAACCAAATTCCGATAGAAGCCGTTGAGATTTGAAATTCCGATAGTCCTTATTCTTTGTTAGTTCCCCATAGCTGATACGAAACAAAATGCTGCAGTGTATGAGACTAGCCAAAACAAGCTCTATGAAGAGTGGTGGACAGCGTCGGTAGCATATTTGATGCCAGTTTGAGTGCAACGCAGTTTTCCTTCCAATTTATTGCTTACGGAATACGCCAAATCGCAGC